AGTTTCCGTTCACATCAACACTACAGATTCGCATTCAACTGACTTAAAATCATGCAAAACGGCTTCTAACGCAAGCATCACTTCTGATCACATGAATGTTCAAGCATTCAGTGAATTCATTCAGTTTTCGAATGTTAACACTTAACCGTAGCAGTTTAATTCTGTTGTATGCCGAAATCAGTGAGAAGTTCCCCGATGATTGATGTTCATTGCGTTCCGATGTGTTGTTGACTTTTCATGAAAATATTCTGAATTATAGGCGGTGCGGTGCATCCATGTAAAATTCGTTCAGATTGCCAGTTCTGAGTAACGTTTACAAATCGTTGATATGCTTACAAAAAGATAAACGTCAAAAAATGACAGCCATAATTGCCTAAGCTTTGATTCGATGATTTATTAAATGTTAATTTCTATGAATCCATCAGCTCGTTCCCGTATTTGCACGAGCTGTTTATAGAAAGTAATTAGGAACTAAAATAGCCATGATGAATGTCAACAATTTCACACACCAAAGTTCATAATTTCATCGTCAATGTAATATCAAAAAGAGGCTGAAGTGAGAAGTTAATCTTGACTTTGTATCAGTACCACTTCTAGATTTAGCACATCCAAAAAAGTAACCTTTTAAGTGTTAGTGAGCAGTGTCCTTCAAGTGATTTTTCAGCTTGTGAAAGATTAATGAAGTGCTAAATCAGGTGTGCCATTAGCGGTGAATAGATATTTTTGACTGGAAGTGATTTTTGACGTCTTCGATCTCAACTAATTGTGATCTCAAAGTGAACTCATAAGATAGCAGAATGTATCGTAAGATTCCGTAAAGATTCACGTTGTTGGGAAGAGCACCCTTCTTTATTCCTAGCAAAAAATCCCATTCACTCCAAAGAAAAACCATTGCAAAAGTTTATTCCAAAAAAATCAATCAAACGGAAATGAAATGAATAGGTTTTTTTTTCCAAATCTACAAACAATGCTCATGAAAAGTACGCAGAAAGTCTCGAGCAAAAACATTCCTCAAGAAGCAGTATCAGGTCATGGAGGAAGAAGGCGTTTTCGATCGTGTAATTGTTGAAATATTTTATGTTCTACTAATGAGTGTCTTCTGTAATTCGGTCATCGCGAAGGGGTACATTTGAACTTGATGTGGTGCTATTGAAGGCATACAGCAAATTGGCTGTGATATACTCGCATTTCACAATCTCATTGCTGCTCAAGCAGTTGGTTTTGTTAATAGCGTAGAGAAATTAAGTGTTTTTACTCGAAAAAACTGAGGAAATGTAAGAACGTTCATGTGAAAACATTCAAGAAAATTGTGCACTTATTTCAGATGGCCGATTCGAGTATAATGCGAACAGCGGCTCGTCTGTTCGTATCAGTGCTGTTCAGTGCAAAACGACTCGCGAAGGATTCAAATCTCTTACGTGGTGCATCGCGACGAGCTGAACTCTTCTCATCGACGTTTAAAAAAGAATTCAAAAAGTCATTAACTGACAAAAAATAGCGGAGAAAGATAATTTGTGCTTGATTCGGGTGAATATCAGCCACTTTTTAGTGATTTGTTTGTGTAATAAATTGAGTAAATTTGCGAAATGTGACAAGTAAAAGTAGATCGATTCGTGTGATGAGTGTACAAATAAATATTATTCTATGTGTGGCTATGTGCATTCTG